GGGGAGTGCACGGCTGTGCTGCGGGAGGTTTGCCTGGGGCCCTCTGCAATTAATCAGCAGGGTGGCGATGACTAAAGTCATTTAATTATTCTGGTTTCCTTCATTTCTGGAGCTTCTGAAGATTACCTCTGACTCAAAGAGGAACTTGAGTGCATATATAAGGGCTTTTTCTAAATTTTGGCTTCCTGATGCAAGGATTCACAGGCCTGCAATGACAAGGCTTGTCACTTCGGGGGCCCTGAGCTGGCCTGTGCTTGCCTTCCATCCATCCACCCTCACAGCAGGGATATGAGGGGATCTGCTGGGACACATCAGGCATGTAGCACTGCAGTCCCCTCCACTTCCTAAAGCACCACCTCTGGGGCAAGAGAAACGCAGGCAGCCAGGGAAGGCTGCAAGAAACAGCATGCAATGCCTCACTTCTGACACCCTCAAAGGTCAAAACCACAAAGGGGTAGAGCAAGCTCGTTCCTTCCCCAAGCCAGCTCAGGCCCTCAACTTTTCTTAGCGATGGCTGTGGAGTTAATGGTCTCCCAGGGCAGAGGTCCTCTCTGCTCCTGGGAGCCCTTGCACAACAGCTCTGTCTTAACTGACAAGCTGCTGATGTTAAACTGTCCCAGGACAGTGAATAGCCCCCGGATTATCCCATCAACCCCTTCCCACAGCACATTTTCTTCTGTTCCCAGCATACTACAGATGGGCCTGTGCCGGCACAGACCTTTCTTCTATGAACACCCTGGGCTGTTGTCGTGTCTGGGACCCTCAGTGCATCCCCAGTCAATTCTGGATTTGCAGGAATACCAATACAGCATCTGCTGTTAGTGAAGCCCCCGTGACTCCTTATACAAAAGGTGCCCTGAGGATTAGTGACAAAACAGGGCATATTAAGTCAAAAAGAACAGCCAAGAGTCAACACTCACCCTCTGAGGAAATTAAAGCCATGTGCACAGACAAGGAGGTTCCCATAGGCATCAACTTTCAACAGGTTTCCATAGTGGGTATCAAACACCAGGCCTCTGTTAAGAAAGCGATTTAAGATATGAAGAAGCAAGCATATTAAGCGGTGATCATTTTAATAGCAGTTCTTTCCAAACCAACTCTAGAACAGCTTGCTCACTTGGTGTGGGGCATCAGAACAGAGTTGCTGTTACTATGCAGATGGGGTCTCTACTGTCCCTTTTACCCAGCTGCAGGTGAGCAACAAGAGCCCTGCACTGCCAGGTGAAAGGTACAGCTGATCTGCTCTCCATAGACTTGAAAACGGAACCGTTTAACCTGGCAGAGGCTTAGCTATGCATGTACCAGGGAAGACGTGGGCCTCTTGCACAGGGTCAGAAATCTGACGCCTGTGTTTGTGGTTTTTGCCGACAGCCCTGTTGGGCTGCAAGGAAGAGAGAGATGTGATAAAAGAATTTCTCCTCTCTTTTTCATGGCTCTGTAACAGACAGAGCCAGATGGGGCACGTAACTGTTGCACAAAACTGTTGAACATTTCCGGTTCCAACTCCAGCAAAACTCTCTCTCACTTATCTAGTAGCTTGCATCTGGAGAACGCAGCCTTCCCACAGAGACTTCCCTTCTGTCCCCTCCCTGGGATGAAGGCGGTGGATTTAATGGAGTCTTCATCCCAGGTTTGTGAAGGGCTACAGTCTTGTTACGGGCATGGGCACACCCAGCAACAGTCTTAGTGTAGAACATGCTGAGAGAAGGGAAGGAAGGAGGCTGCCACACTGAAAACTGGAACAACAAACCAACACACCCTCTTGTCCAGGCTTTTGCCAAAGAAGCTCCAAAGGAGTCAAAAAAAGCCAAATCCAGCAAAGGCACAAATGGAAACAACTTAAAGGTGCAGAGTTAGATAAAAAACCTTGTTTAAAACAATGTCCTTTTTACCTCTGCTACCAAAAGACAAAATGTAAGAATTTAGCAACTTTGCAGCATTAACTTTGCTTTCGGCATTTGAGTCAACTAGACAAGTGAAATGGATTGGTCCCACTTTCATTGTTGTTTACTGTCAGCTTAATTTTCAGGATGTCTTCTGCACCAGGATGCTATTAATTAAAATCTTTACAGAAAAATGTTCTGAGACATTCTAGCAGCCTCATGGACAGTAACAGCTCCTTCTCCCTGCATTTTGATTTAACTCCCAATCCAATTGTGTCTCTGCTGTCTTTGCTTTGAAAGGTTATTTTTGGACCATGTTTTCAGCAGGCCTCTTTTCTTGCACACTCCCTCTTTGCTGGCATGGACTCATGTGTGCCAGGGCCCTCCACATACTGGAGCAGTCTACTCCCTTCCCCATGATCTGTGGTCAACCACAGGCTTCACAAGCACAAATCTGAAAACCTGGCCTCGTGTGTTGCCTATGAACTTTACAGAACAAATATTCAAGGCCTCGAGCAGGCTGGGTCGGTATCTGTTAGTCATTTACCTGGTAGGGAATGCAGGATCATACACAAAATTGAGCAGCTCATGAGGGTATCCAATGGAAACTAATCTTTCTACGGTCAGGTCAAATCCAAGAGATTCGTATTCAGGGGATTTATACACTGTACCAAGATGAGATTTCAGTTAGAAAATTTGAAAACAGCTAGGGGGTTAAACAAGAAGGCAGTTAAAAGTAATGTACCCATTTGCCCTCCTCCCTCCTCCACATCACACACTCCCTTCTTTGCTCCTGCCCTTCGCTGCCTCCGGTCCCCCAGCCCGGAGCCATGGTGGAATTAGCTCATGCTTCAGGACTGCAGCTGAGCAGAGCCGCAGTTCAGATTTCAGCAGCAAAGTGCACCAGAAGAAATATCCTTCAGTCTATCACAGCTCTCTGCATTAGGAAAAATGTATTTCAAGCTGCAGCTCCTCTCCCTGCAGTCCCGTTAGGCAGATGCATGAACACTCCCCATTCCACCTGCTCGGATCGGGTTTTGGTTTACTGTGTTTTCGCAAAGCTGATGAAGAAACCAATAAATTTTGGGAACACATGTATTCATGGTTAGAAAGCCTGAAATTCATCGCTGCTGTGCTACTGTTACTGCTCTGGATACAATCCCAAAGCTTAGTATTGTCTCCAGATTTCCTCTCAGGGGAATTTATGTTTGCTACAGACTAAGTTAGCTTGAAGGTACAGCTGTCAACTTAACATACGATTTGTTTGTTAATAATACCATATGGTACTGTAAAAATCTGTTAGCTATTACCCTTGTACATCAAAATGCTACTCTTTTAAGCAATCTTACTGTTTTCACATTTCAGATGAGCTGCTCATCTGTGACACACACCTTAGTTCAATGCAAAAGAAATGGACTTGTTCAACCCAGTCATTCCTACCATCAGGCCTGCCTTCTTCCCGCAAATGACCTTCCCATATACTGGAAATGTTACTGCTTAATCATATCATTACATTAACATTTAAAAGGAAATCACTGTGTTTCCCTGATGGTGTGTTTGCATTTGCTGCATGTCGCTGTCTTAAATTGGTCCTAAGATGTAACAAGGTCAAATACAACCCTTGACTGCAAGGAAGCTTACCATGGGTTCAATGGGCCCAACTGTGTCAAACACTTGAATATTTCAAATATAGCTGAGTAAAATACAAAAACATGCAAGTTACACAGTAAGCTTGTTAGAAGACATGCTGCTTTTCCTGAGAGAAATCTAGGACATCTGTGGGCCTCACAATATATATTAATACACATTGTCCATACTGCCCAGGTAATCACCACCGTATATATACTTTAGAATACAGAAGCTCAATCTGAGAAAACAAAATTTATAAAATACCACAAAAATACTAAAAAGGCAAGGACTATAGCAGAAATGACACTGTCAAAAGACTCAGATCATAGTAACTGTAACAGAGGGCACCCATATCTCTTAATAATCTAAAAAGCACCAGAATCCTAAGAGTTAATTTTCCTCATTAAAAAAGTAATAAGCAAACCTGTAATGTTCTTAAACAGATAACTAAAATCAATAAAACAGTTATGAAAATCTTCAAGCATTATTATGCCGATGGCAAACATCAACAACATGATACAACATTCAATGCACATAGTCTTTTCTGTCCTTTAGGAAAAGAAGCGTTGATTGAGCTACAGATAGGAATGAGCAATCAAAAACCACAGCTAATGAAGAAAGCAGTGACTGACAAGGCAATTCTGGGGAGTGAGCTAGAGTTGGAGGGAGCAAAAGGCAGTTAGGTGATGAACAACATTGTGAGAGTGATACCACAGCATCATCTGGAAAAAGGAATTCCTCTGATGCAGGACAGTAAAGGCACTTTCCCGGGAAAACAGTAATGAATACACTGGCCCATACTCTCAGAAGCTGAAAGCACTGCAAAGCTCCCCATTATGTGAAGCAGCCTCCAGTCCCCCACTCTGTCCATAAAGCTGCTGCACTGCTCATTAGCTTCCTGGGACTTTGACCATGTTACCAATTTACCCATAAAAAAATCACTCCCAAACAAAACATTTCTCCAAGGAAACCCTGCTCATTCTGAACTCACCAACCATGGTGATGCTGCCTAGACAAAAAGAATCTCAAGGAACACAGTGGCATCTCCTCTGGAGAAGCAGAAGTGGTTCATAAACAGCTCCAGCAGAACCTTTCCAGGGAAACCACGGGGCTTTCTGTTAAACAACCTGTGCATCTTGTTAACACTCCACCAAAGAATGGCTGTGGTGGGACATGTTGCCAGCTGCTCACAAAATGCCCTCAGTCAATTTCTTTCTTTCTGTATTTGCCTCTCTGTCTTAGATTTATCACTACAGACTTCCTTTTAACTCTCTGGGCCTAAGGAAACAAGCTGAAGCACCCATAGGAAAAAGGCTGAAGAACAGGTATCAACCTCAGCCTTCATCATCCTGAGTCTCTGTTGAGGCAGTACTGCAACAGGATTAATCTGAATGTTTCTTTTTGGGGGTAGTTATTCCCCCTACTTCATAAGCTCAAGATTTTACTTCCTTGACTTCTTTTTGACTAAAACTAAACTACTACCTCACTCATGTCTCACATCCCTTCCCTATTTTTCTACCACTCCTCAGTATCTGGAAAACGAGAGCCTTCTCCTTAATACACGAACTCAATAAAGACACAGGAAACTGGACTCCTGGAAACGGGAAAGGGACAATAAACATCCTCATTACCATCATACCTACTGTTCAAGATAAACTTTCCTTTAATTAGAAACACAGCTGGGAACAGACTGAGAGCTCACCAAGCCCACCTTGACAGCACCCTATACCACAGCACGTACTGCATCAATCGGTATGAGCCACAACCCACTGACATTTCTCATAAGCTGTGCAAATGCCTGTTTCAGTAACATGAGCTTCCGGGCAAACAAACGATCCACGTCCTTCAGATCAAGTATGAACAGGCTAACACTGCTGCAACTACAGCAGCACATTTGGGGGAGATGCCCCAATTATACGCATTACTAGATGAAAAAAAAATATTTCCGTATTGCACTCAAGGCTGGTCACTCTCTCTCATATCTTGTTTACTTCAGGTATCCGTGGGGAAAATGAGTAGAGAGGACATATCAGGGGTTTTTTTTCTGCAGCTGCATGACGAAAAAATAGTTTAAAACTTTCCTGGAACATCCACCTCCCTCAGACCTGGTTGCTGAGACCACAACTGGAGATAATTTGTGTGCCACGGCGATGCCATGAATTCAGTTATTTGCCACGTGGTGTCTCCTTTACTCAGCTCTTTCACCCAGTTGAGAAGGGCCCAGTCTTCAAGTACCCCCAACTCTTTGACAGGTGAGGAGGCAGAGCCACAAACCCATTTTCAGACCATCCTTGCCCAACGCATATGGGATGACAGTAAGACCAAAGCACAATGTACATCTTATTCTGGTTTCTTTTTCTCACTACTTGATGGCGGCATCTCTGCCACTGTGCCAAGTCCCCAGCTCCAGAGGACCACGTTATTTCAATAGTCTGTGTTCCAACACAGGCAAATGCTTCAGCGGCGCAGGGCAATGAGCACCCAGCGCTTGTGGATTATGCAACTGGGGTGGAAAAAAAAAAACCAACCAAAGCTTTAAAAAAAACCAAAAGCCAGTTGACAGCATTTCACCTCCCCTTAATACCATCACTTGGTTTAACATTATACTACTGAAAGGTAAAAAGCAGTCCCCTGGGAGTGAAAGTTGCAAGCCTTTGGGTCTGTGATGAGTGTGGGCATCCCTTACACGGTATGTGACAGGAGGGAAGCCGATCTGGAATGAGCAGGGGTTGTGCAGTAAGGTATGCAATTCTCATGCATTTGTGTGGTTGTTTTTACCTTTGCTGCCAAGACACAGACAGTAACAATTTTATAGCCTTCCTGAAAAGGAAAAAAAAAAAAAAAAAAAAAAAAAAAAAAAAAAAAAAAAAAAAGAAAATCTCTACAGAGTCTCCAGCTTATTCAAAATGCTGCTGCCAGGATTTTAACTCACATGAGGCAGATGCAGATTCAGAGTGTCACTCCAGTCTTGACGGAGTTACACTGGGCTCCCCTGTTAAAGAAAAAAATCAGACTGATTTTAAAACTGCAACAGCTCTGTGCCATGTGGGACTGTATCTGCTGGAGCTCTGTCCTCTGGTAATGAGCTGGCCTGGCAGCTATTCCAAACGCACTTACAACTGATTTATAGAGGAGGCACAGTTGGTAATCATGCATCCTGCAGGCAAAATTCTGTCCTCATATCCACAAAGCAGTCTTAGATCATCAGTGCAGTGATAATTAGGAGGAAGAAGCTACAAGCGCATTGCCCAGATGACACAAACCCTTCGAGTTCTCTCAGACGCAGAGCAACTGGTTCAAGAAAGGGTATCATGCTCTTTTTGGGACTTTGCCATTATTGTCCATTCCTCAGTCAGTGACGGATCACTCCTTTCAGGGCACTCACTCTCTTTCACGCCACAAAATGCCTGCACGTGTCAGCACAGGAGACTTGGGAGACTGAGTCAGGAGCTACTCCGGGAACCTGAGAAGAGAATTTTGCCCTACATCTGAAGGCGCTCCCAGGCGACAGCCTCACACACCAGGTCAATCTGACGTAGCATGTCTAAATTCAATTGTATACTTTAACACACTTACGCTTGGGCTTTTATGTGCAAAGCATTGTGGGGTAAACTGGCGCCAAACCTGCACATAGTGCTGCACCATTTGCAAGCACACACAGTAAGAACACCAGATCCGTTCTGCAACTTACAGGTACGCACAGAATAATCAGGAATAACTTTGAGATCCAATTTGCACTAAATACAAAGCTGAATGAGTTGGAATGATGTTGCAAAAAGGACCCACAGAAGAATGCAGACCTCCTGGAAGGTTCCTGTGAAAATAAGTGCTTAAAACCTGTTTTCTTTCAAAATGAATGGCTGAGGAAGGCTGTAGTGCATGTGATAGCTTTGTTTAAGCTGTGGGGAATAGAAAGCCCTTCAAGGGATGCCCATTTCTTTCCTTGTTCCTCCTCTACACATACAAAGATTTCAAATTCAGGCAGGGCAGCTTCTCACTGAAGATGTAACACGGTTTCTTCCAAAGCTTGCCGACA